GGGCCGTGGTCTGGGCCGTGGTCTGGCCCGTGGTCTGGGCCGTGGTCCGGCCCGTGGTTTGGCCCGTGGTTTGGGCTGCGATCTCGGCCGAGGTCTGGGCTGAGGCTTGAACTGAGGTTTGCGCGCTCATGGGCGGCCTCCCGGGGCCGGGCTGGCGAGGGACGATGCCTTCTTGATACGCAGCGCCGCCCGCGCCGGTTTCATCGCGGGCGCCCGCCGGCGCCCAGGCCCGGCCGCGCCCCGGCCCGGCGGCGTCAAGCGCGGCGCACCAGATGCCGGTAGAGGCGCATCTGGCCGCGGTCGTGGATCAGGAACTCCGGATGCCACTGCACGCCGAGCAGCAGGCCGTCGCGGCGGCCCTCGATCGCCTGGATCACGCCGGCGCGGTCGCGCGCCACCACCGTCAGCCCCTCGCCCAGGCGGTCGACCGCCTGGTGATGCAGGGCGTTCACCCGCGCCCGCTCGCGCCGCAGGATCTCGTGCAGGCGGCTGTGCGGGCGGATGCTCACGGTCTTGCGCGGCAGGGTCGTGCGCAGCCGCTTGGCGTCGGCGTAGACCGCGTGGATGTCGGCGTGCAGCGTGCCGCCCAGCGCGACGTTGAGCATCTGCGCGCCGCGGCAGATGCCCAGCACCGGCCAGCCGCGGGTCATGGCGAAGTCCAGCGCACGCAGCTCCAGCGCGTCGCGCTCCGGGTCGAGGCGGATCGCCGGGTCCAGCTCGCCGCCGTAGAGCGTCGGGGCGATGTCGTCGCCGCCGCCGACCACCAGGCCGTCCAGCGCGGCCAGCGGCTGGGCGGCGTCGGGCTGGATGCGGCGCGGCCAGCCGCCGGCGCGTAGCACCGCGGCGGCGTTGAACAGCCACATGCCCAGACTGCCGCGGCGCGACAGTGTCACGCCGATCAGCGGGCGCCGGCTCATCGCCGCGCGGCGGAGCCGGGCGGCCCGGAGCGCGCGACGGAGCCGTCGGCCACCGCCTCGGCCAGGGCGCGCGACTGGGCCGGCCAGCCGTGCGGGATCAACTGGGCGCGGTGGCGGCGGAACAGCTCCATGCCGCGGCCCAGGCGGTCCGGGTCGGCGGCCAGGCGCTCGACCGTCACCCAGCGCTCCCACTCCAGGCCGACCGACCAGTCCGGCAGGTCCAGGCGGGTGTCCGGCAGGCGGTAGTGGAAGGTCGGCCGGGCGTGGATCTTCTCGCGCGGCAGGCGCGCGCGCACCCGCTCGGGCTCCAGAAAGGCGAAGAGCGGCAGCAGGTCCAGCTCGCGGTTGCGGGTCGGGTTGTGGGCCAGGTAGTCGTCGATCAGCCGGTGCCGGTCGGGGGCGTAGGCCGGATCGAGCACCAGCTCGCGGTAGGCGTTGGGAAAGGGGTCGATGAAGGGCGTGAAGCGGCGTCGCAGGTCGACGCCGATCTCCTCGCGCAGCCAGTCGGAGAGCAGCAGGAAGGCCCGCAGGGTGGCCAGCAGCTCACCGGTCTCGCTGCTGGCGATCTCGGGATTGAGCTGGGTGCCGTAGGCCGAGAGCAGGCCGCTGCGCGTGCCGCCGGCGCCGGACTGTCGCAGGCTCTCGACCAGGCGGTCGAGCGCGCCCAGCTCGCTCCAGGCGATCGGCGGCGCGACGATCTCCACCGGCATCCACAAGGAGCCCAGGTCGCCCACGGTCTCGGCCAGGTCGGCCTCCAGCTCGGCGATGAAGTCGTCCCACTCGTCGCGCCGGCGGCGCTCGTCCGGCTTTTCCGGATGGGCCAGCGACATGTCCAGCTCGACCAGGAAGCGGCCGAGCGCGGAGTCGAGCAGCTCCAGGCGGTAGGGGTCGTGCCAGACGATGCGGCCACCGAACAGCCGGCGCAGCAGGCCGCCGGTCTCGGCGCAGTCGAGCCCGTCGAACTCGATCTCGACGCCGACGCGGCGCAGCGCGCCGGCCTGCGTGCGCGCCTGCGGCGGCGCGGCCGGGCTGGTCTGTGCGGAGCTTGCGGTCATGCCGATGATGATAGGCCCGCCGGCCGCCGCTGTCAGGACACGGCGCGTCTCAGGCCGCCGCGCCCCAGGGGCCCGGCTTCGGCGCCTGGCCCATGCCGGCGGCCAGGGCGCGCAGCTTGGCGATGCGGTTGGCGGTCTTGGGATGGGTCGAGAAGAGGCTGTCGACGGCGTGGGCGTGCAGCGGGTTGATGATGAAGAGGTGCGCGGTCGCCGGGTGTCGCTCGGCCGCCTGGTTGTCGATCCGCTGCGCGGCGGTCTGGATCTTGTCCAGCGCGCCCGCCAGCCACAGCGGCCGGCCGGAAATCTCGGCGCCGACGCGGTCGGCCTCGTACTCGCGCGCGCGGCTGATCGCCATCTGCACCAGCGCGGCGGCCATCGGCGCCAGGATCATCATCGCCAGCGTGCCGACCAGCCCCAGCGGATTGTCGCGGTTGCCGCCGAAGAAGAGCGCGAAGTTGGCCAGCATCGAGATGGCGCCGGCCAGGGTCGCGGTGATCGTCATGATCAGCGTGTCGCGGTTCTTGATGTGCGCCAGCTCGTGCGCCATCACCCCCGCCACCTCCTCGCTGGAGAGGCTGCGCAGCAGGCCGGTGGTCGCGGCCACCGCCGCATTCTGCGGGTTACGCCCGGTGGCGAAGGCATTCGGCTGGGCGTTCTCGATGATGAAGACCTTCGGCATCGGCAGCTCGGCATTGGCGGCGAGCTGCTCGACCAGCCGGTAGAGGGTCGGCGCCGACTGGGCGTCGACCTGCCGCGCGCCGTACATGCGCAGCAGCATCTTGTCGCTGTTCCAGTAGGCGAAGAGGTTCATCGCCGCGGCCAGGCCGAAGGCGATCAGCAGGCCGGCCTGGCCGCCGAGCAGATAGCCCAGACCGACGAACAGCGCCGTCATGGCGGCCATCAGCATGAAGGTGCGCAGGGTGTTCATGCGACTGTCTCGCGCCTCGAAGGAGTCACGGGGACGCGGCGATCCCGCGCGCGGCGCCCCGATCGCTCCAGCAGATGGCGCGCCCGCGCGGCGCCTTCAAGCCTTGGCAGGCGCGGCCGGCCGCGCCATATCCGGGGTATGTTCGAGCGCTTCAAGTCGCACCGCCCGCGCGGCGCCAAGCCGGCCCGCTCCGCCACCCAGCCATCGGCCGAGGCGAGCGGGACGCGGCCGGGCCAGCGCC